CCAGAAGCATCCAGCCATGAATCTGTATTGAACTGTGTAATCACTTGCCTCAGATGCAGACGGGTGTCCTTCCCTGTAAACCTGCAACCTGATGTGCCCATCTAAAGCAAAGCCCAGCTGCACCTAGATTTGCCATTTTGGCTTGTAGACTTCATACTGCTCTCTATCCTGCTGCTTTTGCAGCAAAAAAAAAAAATCCTTTAAGTTTCTAAGTAAATAGGACTTTTTTACAATGCTTTTGCTGTTTTCCAGGCTTTCTGCAGATGAGTGATGCTGAGCAGGGCCTTGCATTGTGTAGAGTGAACTTGCCATCTAGTGGGTGACTGCATCTCTGCAGAGATGGCTTGGGTTCCTTTGCATGTACTCACCCAAGGATGGGATTTATCTCTACTGTGTATCATCTCAAAAGGAGAGCTTCCACCTAACCTAGTCAAGTAGGGTGAGAAAAGGACCTTTTCACAAGGACTGATCCAATCAGTCTACCTCCACTAATTGCATAGAGACGAGACACCCAACTTTGACGCCAAGCTCACTTTTAGCCCGCTAAAATTAGGTGAGACGGATCCAGAGTGGCACTGCCACAGGAAGTAATATGCCATGCGACACTGTCCTGGAGATTTACTGTCCGTCTCTGGCTGCCTTTTCTGCTCTGTGGCTGCAACCAGAGCTCCAGGGCCAGGTTCAGTGACTGTGGAGCTTTTCTTACTGCTCTTCTGCTTGCCATATTTTTCATTGTTCTAATTAAAGCAAGAACTCTGCGTATTTCAAATGTCCATTATAAGCATCTCCTGCAGGTAATTGGATTTAAAAACACACACACACACACACAAATTCTGTTTTTTTCTGGCAGTTGCTACAAATTAGTAGTGCACAAAGTGTGTTTCCCTGCAGTGATATAGCAGGGCTGGAGCCTGCCCTCTGTTAAATGCCAGTGAATGTGCTCAGACCAGCACATCATGACCTGGTGGCCATTTCACAGTTATATCTTCTGGCGGTTAACCTTAATTTTGCAGGAGTGCGTTAAAATGCAAGGTTAATAACATAGAAGGGACATCTGGGTTTAGCAGTGGTGCACAGGAGCAGACCAACTTGCCCTCCCTGGTCACAGAGAGCAAACTGGGAGTCTTGGTTGCAAAGGTCTCACAGGATCTCAGCAAAAGGAGGATTTTATTAGCAAAAGAACCATGCAAAACTCCCAGAGTAGTAACAGCTGCATAAATCAGGAGTTACTGAGCTGAGCTAGCTCTCACCTGCAAACTTTGGGGTTATTTACACTCTGCAAAATGTATGACGTGCAGTGTCGAACAGGGTGAAAGATGTCCTTCTCACACCGGGAGCATGAAATACTTTCTTGTCAGGCTGTTACTAGCTTTTGCCTATCATAAAAACAACACTGGCAAATCGTTTAAACGCTTTCATTAAAGTTATTGAAAGAATGGAAAAAAACAATTAATGCATTGGAATATGAAGTGTTATGTTAAGGCTTTTTCTTTAATGGCAACCGTTACTCTCATGCTCTTTAGCTCTAAAGAACTTTTATGGTAAAACACCTTCTATTTGATAGCCTTTTAGATGTGAAACCGTTAAACGTGAACTGTTTCCACGCGGGTTTAGGAGAAGTCAGTGAACCAGCAGTATAAACAGCCGAGCAAGTGAGGGGGTTGTGAGACTGGAAGGTGCTTGTCCTAGCTGAGGACGGGGGACATAAGCTCCCAACAGAGGAGGCTGGGAGCTCCCAGGGGCTTTACCATCCTAAACCAGTGCCCTACATGACCTTTCTTAGAAGCTGATTGGGCTCCATCTCCTCCCGGCGATGGCTGTCAGAAGCAGGTAGGATCTCAGATGTTTTGTAGGGATGAGCTCGCCATGCATGCCTCAGTTTCCCTAGGCCAAGGCCCGGAGCGGGTTTGCACAGGGAGGTGCTTGCACTTTGGGGCTGGTCCCACGCACGGCAGGATCTGAAGGAAGGGATCATCCACCAAGGCATGTCTGTGAAATGGTCACGTATGGGGTGATAGAAGGGGCTAGTGGGGCTAAGAGAAAAGGGAGAAGCGGGCAAGGCAGAGGCATTTTCCTAGGGTTTCCTGCCACAGGAGCATGCTTTTATTTTGCTTCCCTTTTTTCTCTTTTGTTCTTATTTTTATTTTCTTCTTTGCTTTTCTCCTCCTCTTTTTTGTCATTTTGTTCCCCATGAGGACTGAAATGTCATTAATTTCCTTTGATTCTTCCTTATTTTTTCTTATTTGTTAGTGTTTTATATCTCACAGGGAGAAGGGGAGACCAGCGCAGCTTTCATTATCTCATCCACCAGTGGGGAGGGCAGGATTTTGGCCTGCATTTTTCTAGGTCTCCTTTCATGCCAGGAAAGCGAGCTAGAGCCTGTTTCTTTGTCTCTTCTCATTTCACTGACAATTCCTTGTTTTGATCAAAAGGATTTATTTGCTTCTGTCTGTCTTCCTTCTTCCCTCACGTTCTCGTGCCTTTGTCGAACCTAATGAAAATCCAGCAGGGTTTGGGGCTTTTTTTTAAAAAAAACTCTTTTTCCACATTTTGTCCAGTTTTCCTGTTTTTTTTTTTTTAACCAGAAAACAGCTTCCATGAAAGGTATTTTTTCTCATTTCCACAGTTTTTCTAATTCATTCTCTAATTTACTTCCTCGCTTGCCTCATATTTTTCTCATTGCTTTCAATGAAACGCAGCAGGGATTTCCTCTTCCCCCTAGATTTTCCCCTTTTGGGGTCTCATTTGCTCTGGGGGGTAAAGTGAAGGGACTTTTTTTCATCTCTTCTTGCCTGGGTGAGATAGCAGGGTGTGATCCCTGCACTGTTGTTCTTTCTGCAGCATCTTCTTTAAGACGCTGCCCTGCTGCCCTGATGTCATCCCTTACCATGTTTTCCCCTGCCAGACAAAATAAAGGCAAATATTCTTTCTCATTTTCCTCATTTCTTTCACACCATTTTTCATCTTATTTCCATGTGTTCCCCCAGGTGTAGTGACATGGCAGTGGCTTTCTCTCATTTTTCTATTCTTTAATTTTCTATCCAATTTTTCACATCCCCCAAGTGACAACAGCTTTTTTCTTCCCCCTTGGGTGGTGTTGTCGTTTTCCCTCCCTTTTCTCTTTTCGCAAGGGATGAAGCAACAGCACTTCTGTACTGCTTGGTCACACATCTCTTTGGGGTGCTGAGAGGGTGGCAGAGACGGCGTGGAGGGGGCCCGGCGCCTCACGGGCACATTCCCACGGAGGCCGGTGGGGGGACATGCAGCACCCAGCAGCCTCCAGCTGGCCAGGAGGGCCCCGCTGTGGGGCAGTGGGTGCAGCCTTCCAGGCCCACTGCTGTGGGTCAGGTGCTGCTGCTAACTTTAAGTGATCCTTTGTTTTTAGGCGACACCACAGAGAGACCTTTTCAAAAAGGAAACAACCAAAAAAAAAAAAAAAAGGAAACAAAAAAACAGCCAGCACAGCTATTTCTATTTTAAACCTGTTCCCTGTGCTATTTTTCAAACCCTCGCTGTTTCTGAGGAATCCACCTCAGCGGGTCTGAGATGTAGAAAGCAGGACAAATTGCAGTTATGACTTTTTATGTCTGATCGTACTTTATGGTTTCTCAAACTGATCTACAAGCAATACCTTTACTTCATTTTTCATAAAAGAAGGGCAGACATCTCATTTAAAACTGGTGGCATCCATTTTGGAAACAGACCTCACAAGGGAGAAGGACGTCAGAGGAGCCTGTGGTTGGAGAACCCTCACATTTTCTAAAGTGATCCCAACCCCCAGTTGCTATGCCATTGAAAAACAATACCCAGGATTTGCCCAGGCACTTCAAGTTTCCCAGAGCAATGGCCCTTTTGTAGTTTTCACACTGGTCTCTGTGCCCCAGATCTCTCACTGACTTCAGAAAGGCACTAGGGCATTTCCAACTTGGCCTCCACACAGGACTACTAGGATCATATTAAACATGATCACATGAAGGGATCTTTTGGACAGCTCTGCTTTGCGGCACAGTTTAGACACTGGCAAAATACCTTCTGCTGAGGGAAAGGACGTGGTGGGGGGGTGAGGGGGGAGGTCCAAGAGCAGGGACCTCTAATTGGTGTCATGCAGATGTTTTTCAAAATGTACCCATGGGTTAGATTTCAAGACTAGATTTCAGGACATCCTGAAAACGTTCCCAGGATGGATCTTGTCACAGCTGCCTCCTTCAGATAACTCAAGGATTTTGGAGCTGATCCTTGGTCAAGACCTGGGAGCTTGTACCCAAAGGCCCTGTATTTGGGCAAGTGAGGACACCCAGGGCCCTAGTAATGGTCCTTGGGTGATTTGCAACAGGGGCTTCATGAAGTGTTACGGAGTTGCTTTCATGATGGCCTATGGGAGGCAGCATGGTAGTTTTTAGAACTGTGTTTGCTGAAGGTCACCAGAACACCTGAGAAAATGCGAAGCACTCCAGGCAAGCGTGCAGATGACCTCTGAGCGCTTTGAACAGTCTCATGGTGGGGCACCTGGTTTGCTGTAGGGATGCAAAGTATATCTACTGGAAGATATTCACGTACATATTGCAGATGGGCTAGCCAGGCAAACTGAAGATACCACCCCAACATGAGGGGGTTCGGGGTTTGCCTGTTGGGCATTTAATTTCCTGTAGGAAAATTTCCCTGGGGTTGTTTCCCGGTGGAGCCATTGTGTCCTTTTCAGGCAGCTGCTTGTGGGGAAGCTTGAAGTATATCTCTAATAGCCTCTGCCCCTGTGAGTACTGCAGCATGGCTCAGAGGCAACACGGGGGCTTTCTTGGAAAGTTCCTTAGGTGGGGGCTTAGGGACTTAATTCAATGAAGAGGCTTCACTACCACTTCCCACAGTTCCCTAGGAAGGGCAGGAGTTATACACCATCACCCAAGGCTTCCAATTACCCAACATTTTCCAAAAATACAGGAAATAAGTCAGTAGAGAGACTCTACAGCTATACAGCGCTGTAAACCCACCTTTTCCCAGATCGCTGAGGGATGAGCAGCGCAGAGCTCAACTACCAAACTATCTCCAGCTCTTTGGCATCCTCCAGGGATGAGGGGAACTGCTAACGAAAGCACAGCGATGTCTCTGCCCATCATCACCTGCAGTTTCCTGGGGATAATGTGTATTGCTTATGTTCGGAAAAATTGCTTCAGATTTACTAGCTTTTCCTAAAGGGTGTGAGGATTGAGATATATAAGAGCATGCACTGCTGTATGACCACAATTCTGTAAGAATTAGGGTATGTGAGCAACATAAGCAGAAAAGCTGCTGGTTAACTGGTGTTCTCTAACACCAGGGAGATTTAATTACCATAAATCAAGCATGTCTTCAATTAATCACTGTCACTGACAGTTCCTTAGGAATGGTGGCAATTACTCCCATTTAGGAAAACACTTTTGATTAATCTGCATTACATAGAACTAACAGGAAATATTTGATAGCAACCCGTTATGCCTCTGCTCAGCCATTGCTACCCACAGTTCAGTAGGAAAAGGAGCATGGCCCTAGGGGGCCAGGAAAAAAAAAGTCTTTAGCTGAAATTCTTTAGAAATGCTGCAAAATTGCCACTAACAGGTAAGTATGGCTCGTCATAACCATCATTGCTCAAAATTACAAGGAATAAGTAGAGTGAGTACCTTATCCAAAGTAAAAGTAGAGATACCCTGGCCCCTTGTAGAGATGGGGTTTTTTGCCATGAGTTACATCTGCTTCCTGTTCATCGCCACCATACGCAGCTGCCGAGGGGTAATTCAGCATTGGCAGAAGGTCACCGACTCCTCCAGCACTACCTATGCTCATGGCAATCCGCCAGCAGACAATTTAAAGGTTTCCATGTAATAACCACTTCCTTACATATGCCCTGGACTGGGTATACGAAGAAGAAACGTTAGCTGGAATTCTGAGGAACACTAGGAATTAATCAGCCTATGACAAATCTGCTTCTGATCAACCATCCTCAGCTCCCATTTCCCCAGGAATGGGAGAATTACTCACCATAGGCACAAAATGCCTCCAATTAGCTGACATCTTCTGCAGAGAACGGGAACGAAACAGCTAGAGACAAATACACCCCCAAGTGACTGCCAGTGCCCAAGTCATAAATAATAAGGGAAATTGCTCAGTACAAGTACAAAATGCATCTAATAAGTCTAATTACCTAGAAATTAAGAGAATTAATCAGCTTAAGACAAGCCTATCCCTGCTTAACTACCATACCCACAGTTCCATACTAATGATTAGATTATTCTCTTTATAAACAAAATATGTACCTGATTAACTAGCGCTCTTCAGGGATGATGAAAATTGATCGGCATACGGCATCCATGAGTGGCCATCACCGCTCACACCGTAGCACTGGCAGAAATTACTAGAAGTAGATGGAAACACAAACAAAAACCACAGTGCTGATGAAGTGGTGAGAGCTTTTGTCATGAGACAAGCAGATCTCTTCACCGCCAAAACTGATGCCTCCCTCTGAAGAGAGTTACCCTCTGGGAGCAAAATACTCCCTACTACTTGCTGTTTTCAGAGGTATTTAGAAGTATTAAATGCATTACAGAAAACAGGTGTGCATCTTCAGCTCACTCTGACCATCACAGAGTCCCCACGAATACCGGGACACAGCACAAGCAAACATGCTTTGGATTAAATAGCAACCTATAGAAAGTATTAGAATTAGATAGCAGAAAACAAATATGCCTTTAGTTAAGCACTACTGCACACTGCATTGCTGTATGATGCTAATAACTAGCCAGGAGAAAAAGTGTCTTTTATGAGCTGGTATTTCCTAGGAAAGATAGAAATTAATCAGTAAGTGTATTTCTATAAAACCCCCATGTTCCACACTTCATATTGACTAGCTGGATTTAGTCAGGATAATCAAAGAAATATATCTGATTAGCCAGTGTTGCCCAAGAATAATAGGAATTAGTTAACATAAGGCAAGTGCATTTCCATCTAGTCAACACAGACTAGGAGCTATGGGCATTTCTCATCATAAGCAAAAATTCTCAGCTTACCTGGCACTTCTTAGGAAACTGCTGCAATTCAATGTGACTATTTTAACTCTGTTTAATCCCAATTAACTGCCATCCCCTACAAACAGCAATAGCATTGGAATGTAGCAGCATAAAGAAAACGTATCTTCACTTAGCCACAATTTGTAATTTCACACAGACGATGATAGTTCTTTATTGTAGCTCAAAATGGCCCTGATTCACTAGCATCATAATCAGGAGAATTAATGAACAAAAGGCAAGTATACATGCAATTAAGCACCCTTATCTCCCATTCTCTGGCAATGGTTGGAGCTCCTTTTGTGCTCTTTCTCCTCAGTTCAGACCCCCAGGAAATTGCTCCAAGCCAGATGAGAGCAATAACTTCTTCATCAGTCATGAGCAGGCCAGAAGCATGGTCCTGCCCACCCTCAGCATCTTCAGCTTACAGGCAGCGGTACAGCCCAGTCTCCAGGCACCTCTAGTCGCCTACTCGCTTCTCCCTTTGGTCTCCGGATCATGCATCCCATTCACATTTGGCTATGTCCAATTTTTTCCTTGCAGTTATCTGTGACTGCTTCTTCTCAGTATCCCTGCTGGCCTGCATGGGTGCTGTGACGCTTTGGGACAAAACCTTCTGCTAACCAATGCCAGCTGAGGTCCAGCTGGATTCATGTTAGTTTGTGTGCACCTGCAGTCCGTGATAGCTGTTCGTTCACTTATTAGCCCCCATCCTGGACCAGGATCTTACCGTGCTGTCCCAGGTCACTCCCAAGGAGCTCAGCTGCAGGTCTCTTACCCATGACTGGCTCCCCAGCCTCCTTCCAAAGGCTTTGGTGCAGGGTGATGGTTTCTTGTCCAGTCCAGCCTTGCAAATGGCATCAACAAGGAACATGGCCCACCACTGTGTTTCAGTTCATCCTGCAGACTGATGGGCAGATACACACTCACAGTCACTACCTCTGACCACCCCAACAGCTGGGTTCATTATTGCCTTCAAGCACCGTTATTTGTCTGATCCGTTCTCCCAGGTCAGTCCCGGATCATCCTCCTGAACCCTCCTAACCCATGCCCTGCCTTTACGAGCCTACTCAAAGTGGGTTTATTGTACCGTTTCTTTTATCTTCTGCCAGCCCTCAGGCCAATGCTGGCCAGTTCCAGTACCTCCAGTCAGTTCATGGTGACTGTCCAGGGCTCCAGGCCTGGCTGAGAAGGACTTTTGTTACCCAGGCCGTTCCATTCATATTTGCAGTCTGCTCATATCTGGCTACCTCTGGCTTTACAGCAGTTTTTCTACCTTGCAGTCAGTCCTTTTCACTTCGCCCCAGGCTCTCCACGCTGTTCTTAGCACACGCTTTGACTTGTAACCTTAATGCTTCTGCTAAGCGATGGTAACTGAGACTCAGCTGTATTCCAGTTAACACACACCTGCCCACAGTTACACAGTGAGATCCAGACAGCATCTATTAAGCACCGCAAGAAAGCACAGAGCTCTCGGAAACAGCATTCTGGAAATGCAGTCACTGACTGGTGAAAAATTCCCCACATTTCTATGCCATAATTCTAGCTAATTACCTCACCTGCAATTCCTGCAGAAGGATGGGGATGACACCTTTCTAGTGACAAATACCTCCAATTACCCGGGAGGCTCTGGGGTTGCTGGGACATAATTATCCTGAGGCAACTGTACCTCACCTATCTAACCAGCCTTCTCCCCTTTAGGAAGGATGAGACTTGCTCACACGACATGAGGATGCTACTGATTACTCTGTGTTCCTTAGAATGGGGAACTTAATCAATGCAAAGCAAACATGTCAGCCACGAACCACAAGTGTCTGCCGGCCGCAGGCATTAAAAGATGCTCTCCATAAGTAAATGACTCCAGTACATGAGCGCTCTCCACAAAAACATACAAAATCACTCACTGGAAGGCAAGTACTCTTCCAGCTGAGCACTACTCCTGAAGGGTACATGTTTCTGTCAATAGTAGAGCAGATCTATCTGCCCTCAGTTCACTTCATCCAAACACAAGGTAGGGGCATCTCTGCAGCTTCACCCCTTGGAGGCTCAAGGACACCACGGAAGGTAGGATACAGGAGCTCCCAGGAAAGGTCCCAAGGCCTTAGGGTTCAACGTGCCCATTTCGCCGTCCCAGTTAGCACATTGCCTTCTTTTCCCCTCAGCAAAGGAGACAGCAGATGGCCAGTCACAAAGCCTTCAGCCAGCCTCCCCAGGCTGCGGAGCAGCCCTCTGCTCCCTCTGCAAACACCCAGAGACACCAGAGCAGCTTTCCCTGAGCTGCTGTGGCAGCTGTGCAGAGCCAGGCCTGGTGCAGGTTATGATGGATGATGGCAACCATTTCTGCATCTCAAGCCGCACATCCTTAGCTTAGCGTAAGGGCCTCACAACGCCTCGCAGTCCTTTATTGCTATCAAGAGCATTCAACATCTCTGGCTGCCACTGCTGAATATCTTTTCAAAATGGTGTTCAGATGGAGCTCAGCATTTTCCTCAAAAACTACAGAGTGCACATCTAATATATTTGTTTATCACCATTTCCAGGGATTCAGAAGTTGCCAGGACGTTGAAACTCATTCACGTTCCCGGAAGCCAAAGCTTTGGGACTAGGAATCTTCAAGTTTTTAATTGCAGCTCTCCGGAGGCATGTTGCAATGCTGACACCAATGTACGCAGCCAGAGAAGACCACCAACAGTCCTTCTTTCCTGTTTTCCTCCGTTTTGTTCTTTAGGCTGATGCATGCATGAACAGGGGCTCCCTCAGCCTTGGGCTCTGACAGAACTTTCCTGATGTGCTGAAGTTTTAGGGTGAAAAGGATTTGTGCTTCACAGGCGGCTGGTGATTTAGAGATCCTCATTTCTGGGATAATACTTACATGTGTAAGTAGGATAATGCTGGCTGCCAAGGGAGAGAGAGTTCAGCGCATTCCAGCACAAAACACTCCCAAAACAAAAGAGCAAGAGGGAAAACATTTAGCTTAATGTCCATACATGCACATTTATCTAGTAGTCGGCTAGCACACACCAGTTACACAGCAAAAGCTTGCAAAGCAAAGATAACCTTTAAAGATACTTAATAGGATGCTTTTACCTGTAGATAGAGAGGAAAATTTCTTTTCTGGTGTCTCTGCCTGTTTATTAGAGTGCACAGTGGCTTACTAGAGAGGACTTCAGTTTGCAGCCCTGGCAAAGGTCACATTATTACAGAAAATTTTCAAATAGCCTTGCAAATTATAAGCATATACAGGCTATATTAGAGCCATCTTTTATAACCCTCATAACTAACTTCCCAGGCAATCTAACTGACAGGCCATGCTAGAGAAAACAAACAAAACGTCATGGTAACATGTGCCTCCTTCCGGACTCTAGCCCCTACTGCAAACATCCACGCTTCTCTGCAAAACGTACCAAGTAAAAAATAGTTAGCACAAGACTAGTGGAACTTAGCATATTTTTCACGTACCGTCAGAGTAGACACTATTGGAAAAGCAGCATTACAAGGAACCACTGATTGCATAGCGCTGCTGAGAGAGGTCATAACCCTTCTTTATGAGTAACAGGGGGAGTCCAGTGGATCATTAGACCCTAGAAAGGTGGAGTAAGATATGAAACCCAGTTAACAGAAGCAATATATTCAGCCAGAAAGGACTGTGCATGTAAATACAGCCATAGGATTGCTGATGCCGGTTCCAGGTCTGAAGCTGCAAGGGCTGTCCTGTCCAGGACAGGTTTCCAAGCATAGAAGAGCCAAAAAGAAGCATCCTACTGCTTTCTCCTGCAGCTGCAGGCTGGGTGAACTGAAGAGATCCCTAATCTGACACGCGAAACCAGCAACCAGTGAGGAAGACACAGCTGACCCCACAGTCACAGTAGGATCCAGGATTTAAGAGACATTGTCTCTACTAGGCCTTTTTACCATTTGAAGTAAGAAAATCTTTTCTTTTTAAACTTCCTATTTTTAAAAGAAAAAAAAAAAGCATGCCTCAAAAAACCTGCTGAGGTCAATGCTCTACCCGCAGTTTCCTTCGGCTTCATTTAGCACAGGCTTTCCCAGCCATCATGAGACAGGAGAGCCTAATTTTCTTTTTTTTAAAGAAAAATGTTGACTCGTAAGTAAGGAGCAGTCCCAGCTATCTCTGGCAAGAGTAACATTGGGATGCAGTCACCCACTATCACCGTTGTCACATTAAAAAGAGGGACAGCTGACAACGGCTGCAACTGGCATCCCTAATTGTAAGTAGCAGCTTTCTTAAGGGTTCTCCTTGTGCTACAAGACTTCCCTCTCACGCTCTCACGCTTTTGTTTCCTCTGTCCAGACAAGAGATGTGAATGCTCACAGCATGTGTTGTCATGTTTTACCCATCATGACTAACAGCAAGTTTTAAATGTTCAGCTCACCAGAGGGCATGTGAAAACGAGTACCAGCCCTGAGTTTTTCACGGATAGGAGACAGCCCGGGCTCCTCTTTGGGTCACCATTTAAAGACTAGTAACATAGAAAGCACAATAGAAATTAACAGGTCAAATCTCCACCCTGATTAAAATGAGTTATCTTACGAAAAGGAAGATTTGGTCTGATTCCGTGGTAAAAGTCATGAGTGAAGGATTAACAGCTTTCAGCCATGGTGTTTGAAATAGAGAGCTTTCATTCTTAGACACTTTTCTACAGCTATTTCTGTTACGCTTTGTCTTCTCCTGAAGAAAAAGCTCTTTGTCACACAGACCATGCTATTCCTGAAAACTCCTTACATATTCCTCATAAGCCAAATGTATTCACACCCTGACAGGAACTTCATTCAAGTGCTAGTGTTTGCAGCAGGCACCTTCTTCATTCATGCTCTTTGCACAGAGCAGATTTCAACGTGGGGCAGCTCTTCAAAATTTTTGCTAACAGTGCATTGTCAAAAACATCAGCCAAACCCAGACAGTGAAGCATCTGTCAGAGCTGAAATCTGCAGCTTTAACCATGCAGCTGCACAGCACTATCCTTTTCTTTAACCTTGGTTTGAGATCTTTTAAATCTTCCATAAACTGTCTCTCACAAGAGACGCACAAAAAGGTGTAAAGCAGACATTGTCAAATAATAACTTGTTGCAGAGGACAGTTTCTGTAGCATTACAAATTGTACATTCATCAGAACTTTCCAGATGCTTTATAAACACATCTTTTTTTCCCCTCTTTTTTTTGCTACATGATGGTTTATAATCTCTGTTACCATTTGCTCCAGGTATTTCATCCAACTTTCATCAGTTCTTTGGTTATACTAAATTAAAAATAACATCTGTTTGTAGATTCTTGTATTACCTTTAATAAGGACAAATTCTCCACCGGACGCTTTCATGTATCATGCATCAGGATGCCAAAGCTGCACAGCCTGACAGACTTCCGAGCACAGGTCAAGGCAGAAGAATCCAATTTTGTGGTTTCTGACCACAAAAAAAATGAAATCACACCACCCCGTCTCTCCCAAGCTCCCCTGAGCGCTCCTGTACACAGCGCTTAGATGCCACCAAATGAGGCTTGCACCATGGCCTGCATGGGTTTTTATGGCTGTGCAATATGACCCAGGCTGTAGTTATCCTACCCCAGGGCCTGCCTGTAGGACAAACACGTGGTTATGTGCAGGTTTCCTATCATCACTTTTCAAATAGTGAATGCACCGGGCCAGGTTTCACTTCATGTCTCCATAGGCCCTAATATTGACACAGCTGACAGGGAGGTGAGGGAGGGACCAGGGACCTCTTAAAGCAGGCCCTAGGCCCATGGAGAGCAGAGACCTCCTGGCACAGCAGGGAGAGGAAGGGGCACAGCAGCCAGCTAGAGCTGAGGCTATTGCAGCACCCTGTCTCGCTGCACCAGTGCGGCCCAAGACGTGTCCTGCGGAGTGGCAGCATCACACTGGGGAGCATCCCTCTGGCAGGCTCTTCCCATAAAGAAATCCTCTTCAGGAAAGCAGCTGATAGCCCACCGTTCCAGGACAAAATCAAAAAAAAACCACGACTCTGTTAATGCACAGGCCGGAGGAACAGGGGCCTTGATGTAGTGGCGTCAACCCCCTGAAGACAGTCATCCAGCAAGATGGATGGTTAGCGAGGCTAACCTGATGCAGATGCTGTAACTGCCAGCACTTATGATCTACCCTATACCCAAATTAACGGATTGAAAAGAGGTTTCAGGCAGCCCTAAAAATCCATCCCAAGGCCATTACATTAGAGGTCTTGCAGGGACTGGTGCATGCCAGAGCTGTGCCTGGTGTCCCAGAATAGCTGTTTTCACCTCAGTCAATCCCTCACACAGGAGAAAGGGCTGAGAGCTGAATGAGGAGGCAAGACCCACCCCAGCTGCCCTGCTGGTGAGCTCAGTTTGGAGGGAAGCTGGGAGAAGTGGCCGAAGGCAACCTGGCCTTTACAGAATGAAAAAAAAAAAAAACAAAAAACACTATCTGATGGTTTTTTTCTTTTTTGAAACCTATGTCCTCTGCCACCTTCTAAAGGTAACCAGCTAACGTGGACACTGCCACATAGCTGTTAACAACATCACACAGGGACTCCAGTGCCTTGAGCTAGTGGGACGATTTCCAGACAGCACGTGGGAGATGCCTTTATTGGAAAGGGGCAGTGAAGAACAATGTGAGGAAGAGTAAGGAAAAGATAAAAGGCTTGAGAAGCAGGATTGCGCACCCAGACCCTACCAGGACTGAACAGATCTCCCCATCACAGGCAAGTACAATGATTTCTAAAATCAGGGCATGCTACAGCACCAAGTCCCCACATGCACTGTAGCTACCCAAAAAAACAGTCAGCTCAGGAGAACTGGACAAACTTAGGCCGGAAAGCTCTGGGCAAGTGGAAAAGGTTCTGGTTCAAGATGCCAAACATGAGGCACAGGCTTTATTGCAATTTGTGCTGTATTAATGAATGGCTCAAGACAGCCTGCAGCAGCAGGATGATACCTCTCTCTCTGATATGCTCTCTCCGCAGCATGTGACCAGGAAAAGCCCTGTGTCACCATCCAAAAAGTTGCCAGGCAATCTTGTGGGAGCTCAGATATCTAAGTCACCTACAAATCACTCCCAGGTTAATTACCAGAGCCCTCATTGGCACAGGAAAGCTGCAAGAGCCGCTGGGCTGGCTCCTGAAAGCGGGTGCTGGGAGCCAGACGAGGAGCAGCGCAGTAGTGCAGACCCTGGAGATGGCATCAGGCACGCTGGCTGAGTATCTCAAAGCACTGGATAAGGCTTTGACAAGGAGGGGCAGACTGGAAATGAAACTGCACGGGTGGATGGAGATGCATGGTTGGATGTGAGAAGCGGACGGCTGAAGACTGTCAGAAATACTGGTGAAGTGAGAACACGACCAGGCAGTGAGTGAGATTGTCACAAATGGGTTTTGTCCTGCTCACTCCCTCCTGGAGCAAGCTGCAAGGAAGAATTGCCTTAGGATGTGGCAGAGTCCACCAGGAACGGAGGCAGAGCAACAGGCAGCAGCAGATACAAGGACTACAGTAGCATCATCCCAAGATAGGTGTTGCTCTACTTGCTCCTCTCACCTTGTCCTTGGTCACACTTGCCCCCATCAGCCAGCCAGCTTTGCTGTCCCCCCAACATATCCCTGTTGCTCTCTCCAGGCCAAGAGTCCTCACTTCAAGTAAAATCCTCAAGGGCTGTCTTGGGGGCCCAAATCAGCTCTCAGCACCCTTTCACATGCCCTCAGGATGCTCCCAACCGTACACAAATGCAAACCGGCTGCGCCGAGCTCCAGCTGAAGCTAGAGCCCTGGGAACCCTCGGGCACTGCACATCAACAAGGCCTTCCTACTCCTCCTCACCCAATGGTTGCTGCTGAAAGGGCGTTCAGAGCCGACCAGGCTGGCTGCAGCCTAGACAAGAGGCAGCAAGCGGGTAGGAGTGAACACACGATGCCAGGGTGCTCTGCGGGGCTAAGCATGACCTCTTCACATCCACACTAGGACAGTGATGGGCTCCCCCAGGGAGAGAGAGTGCTACATGTTCCTCAGCCTGCTACTCCACACTAGCCTTTTGCTTTTTCTTCCAGCACAGGGCACAGCAAGAGGGAAACGGATGACAAGGGAAAGGGAACCCAGAGAGAGCTCGGGATGGGTAGAAAACATAATATCAGGGACAGGGCCACTAATCACAGCTGCAGATGGCCAGTACATTCACAGCGATGCCACTGAGCCACCTTGACCTGCCAGACCCCAGCTCGCTACCACTGCCGTACGCGCGTGAAACATCACCACAGCAAGTTTTTGCACCATACTTAATTCCTTTTGGTGTGCTGCTCCCTCTGGGGGCGTCATGCCCCTGAGCCCCCACGCAGCAGTGGTTTGTATTTCATGGAGGTTTTGATTTGCCGGTATGCTCTGCTTTCCACACCTCCTGACTTCTTTCCTTCTGAACATTGCACTATGCTTAAATCTTCTCTTTATGCATGGTAGGATTTGTACTGAATTGCAGTCTACAGCTTCCACATGTCTGTATCTGTTTCTTCACTCCTGTCTCCTTTGAATTTTTCTTTTTTGTGCGTTTCACAACAAACAGGAGTTTCTGCATCTCAGGGAATTTTTCTCACTCTGCATTTCAATGTAAATTTGGGGTTTGGCAGCTCATGCCACATTTCCATTTTAACAACCCGTTATATACTATTTTTGCAACTCGTCGCAAAACTTTGTGGCTGCATCATGCTACAACCCCCCCCCCATCTCATTATGTTTCAGTTTTGAATCTCATTACATTATTTCTTTTGCATTACACATATTTCAGCATTTACATCTGATTAACAAGCACAAAACTCTCACAGCTAGGCAGGCAGATACAGTCTGGTCCCTTTTCCTGAGCTGCCCTCATATAATGAGCACACCTCATCCTCGTTTAGGATACTTAACTGCAAAAGCAAAAATACCAGGGGTGAGCCTCACAGCTAGCCTCAGATGGGAGCTTTGGCTGGGTCAACTCACCTCGTCTCCCCGCGTGCTCAGCAGCCTCCATCCGGCTCAGCCGGGCGGCACATCTTCTGCAGCCCACAAAACCCAAACGCAGAAAACAAGCAACGAGTTCAGGCTCTTCGTGACACCGGCACCTGCACTTCCAACTATGTCACGTCCTAATAGGCACCTTAGAGCTACTGGGCTCCCCCAGGGCACAGCGGTGTATCCGAGCGCTGTCAATCAAACCTCCACGACAGACTCCAGTGAACAGGGCAAACAACTTCTATCCATCGGGGCCAGGCCTGGGAAGCCCATCAGCAATCTCAGCCCTGCGTCCTCTTTGCAAAGCCTGAGAAAAAGTTGCCTTTGGAGAGCAGCCGCCACCCCAGCAAGGCAGCCAGCCGCAATTTAGTGCCTGTACAAGAAAACAGGGAGAGGGGCTACAACTGCTACAGATTTATCTCAGGCTGCTGTCTCTGCAGTGAAACACGGCACCAACCTCGGCATGTTTAAATCACCATGATTAGTTTCCCTCTTCCAGACTGAACAGCTCTGGCAACTGATGAGTGGATCGCAACCTGAAATGTAAGAGTAAAGGGAATTACTGAGCATTTTAAGGAGATTCACTATTCCTGAACATCAGTAGGCCTCAACTTGGTTTTTATTTTTTTCCTTTTGTAAATGATCTCTTTCCTGTGGAGTAAATTCCACTCTTTACTGATGGTGCTGGAGACACGCACCAAGGCCTCAGGCACCCCAGGAGGCCTGTGCCTGTTAACCACACTGAAGAGCAACGTGCTTACTCTGAACACAGACACGCTGGTAAGACCAAGCTTACTGCAGCTCCCCAGCCCCTCACCCCAAGCAACTATATAAGTCAAGGCAGAGTTCTGCAGGAGCACCTGCATCAACACCTAGCTCTCCTGGAAGCCCAGCTACGAGCTGGCACTCGCACCTCCTCACAGCCTGGCCCACAGAGTGACACTGGCAAAAGTCCAGTGCATACGCCAGCGTGTGGTCGGCAAAATCTTAATCAGCAGCAAAACTGGCACTGACCTGCAGGATTTGGCTGAGTCTCAGGCGCATTTTAGATAAGCCAGGAAAACACTAACACACTGCCCTGCACTTCTGCTCCACAGTTCAGAGAGTCCCTCAGTACATTTAGACTTAAAGTCATTTTGCTCCTCAGTTGGTAAGCAACTTGAACTCAGCACACGAAAGCTGAATGTAGCACTGGGACGTGCACAGGGTTTCCCCGGTTCACTCATAATCACGGCTATGGAATTAGCTTCCTAGACACACAGCTGCAAGCTCATGCCCGTCATTTCCCTCCGGTGAGAGTCAGCTAAGCATTAATTAATTCAAGTTTAACTGAAAGCTTTCCCCTCCTCTTCTCTCCCCAGCCTCTGTGGTTGTGGCGCTTCTGTTCGGTGACTGTTTTCATGCAAAGCCTGTACTGCAAAGGACCCGCGTAGCCAAGGTGCTACCACACTGCACCTTTATGGGGTCCGGGCTCCACTGGGCAACAGCCTTCAGGGACTTGCTGAAAAACCCTCCCTTGACAAGCTGCCCTGCGTTCATCCTCCCAGGATGTTTGCTTTCTCTCTCGAGGACAGCTTTCCGCTTTCGGGTATTACCCCTGGATTTTCCTGCTGCTGAACATCTTCCTATTATTCCTCATTTCATCCCCTCACCTGCGGAACGAAATAAATCCAGACATTACTTGAACACATTTGCTTGTCCTTTGACCTTGAACACGCAAATGCAAGACGTGACTACCCAGATGAGCACACAGCTGCTTTTAGGGCAGGCCTGGTGAGCTGCAGACACTTAAAAAACAGTGGTAATGTTTGCGTGCCTTCTTTCAAAAGAGATATTCTGGATTGTCCAAAGTTAGTTGTGCAGCCATCAACACCAAGGCCAAAAGGCCTCCACGAACCCAGCCACTCAAGCAAGCGAGGGTTAAAAAATCTTCAAAAAGCATATGAAGTGCGGTGCTCTGAGACCTCTCTGTCCTGTGGCCTCTCCCCGGCAGCCTCCCACGCTTGCTCACCAGAGCAGGTAGCTGGAGCGAGTTCGCTCCTGGCTGCTCCTTGGGCTCCATCACAGGGACACGGGCAGCTTCAGAGACACCAGGGGCTGTTGGGGGAAAAAGCACTTAGGAAATCTTTTGCAGAGCTCAAAGGACAAAGTTGACGCAAGGAAAAGGAGGAGAAAGAAGTGGTTTGTGCAGCTTCCCAGAGCACCGCGGTGGAGCTCAGGAGCCACTTTCCCACAGGGGAAGTGGGAGCTCGAGCAGCTTAAAAAAGCTGTTTGCATCCACCTCCAGCAGCACCGAATGTTATCTGTACAGGTCATGGGCACCTTTCCAGCTTTACTCCTGGAGCAAACATTTTTTCCACATAGGCTAGGAAATACAAAACCCGTCAAAATCAAAGAAATGCTTGAGATGAGCTTTGCTCTGACTCTCCCTCAGAGCCCAAGTCTCTTCTCTAAATGACTATGCCAAAAAGTCTTTATCCAGGGAGATAATTTTCCCCAGTCACATACAGATGTGTCACATACAGCTCCTTCTGCCATTCTTCCAACTCATTCCACTCATCCTCCAAGAAGCTGACCGCGACATCCTGCAACGTTACAAGGGCCTGGGACAAAAATGAAAAACTCTGAGGATGCTGAACAGCAACAACAGCCAGGCTCTTTCTCCAGCTCTAGATCAAGATTTGCCTCTGCAAGCCTTGAGAATAAGGCAGACATTGGTATGGGGAGCTATAAACATCGTTCCAACAGAATGACCCAGCTTCAGGGCTGCCTGGAAAGCATTTTGTTATACATCAGCTTCCATACTAACCTCTTCTGCCTTTTCACGGCCAGAGAACCAAAGCAAGCTTCTTCTCCCTACTATCTCCACTGGATGGCTCCAAAGCAAAGCAATACAATTTGCTAGAGCACCTAAAGCAGCAGAGATGATGCTGCCAGCCATACACAGCCTGGCATTAGCCTTGCTCCCTCTTAGAGTAGGGGCTGCAGGTGCTGGTGCTGAGCAGGTTCCCACCTATACCCCACCAAAACTGGCTAATCAAAACTCGTCAAAATTGGCGGGAAAAGAAAGGTATGTATAAATGTCTCAAAATATGGAAGCACTAAGGTTTGACTTAGCACTGCCTCATGCTCTTTATTATTCTAAAGGTTTCTTCTAGGCGTGTGTCAAAGTGCCTCCAGAGTGCAACACTTCTTATGGGGCTGCAAGCTCTAGTACGTATTCAGTTAAAAATCCATCATAAGGAGATTATTCCCCATTCAGTTCCCATTGAAAAGGAGATTTCCCACTCCCGAATCAAATACAATACAGAGAAATTAGATCATGTAGCTTTCAATTTTCTTCTATGATATAACTGTAAGTTATCACTGTTCCTGGCAGCCTCAACCTAAATCAAAGTGTTTCAACCAGGAGTCAGGTCACACTGGGAAAATCCTAGGTCATTCGAGCTGAACCACGGAGATCTGCATGTCAAAACTAAACACAAGAAAATCTAACAAAATTTGCATTTAATAGGAGTAGAGAAGGTGCTGCCTTGTTCTGCAGGGATGCCGTGAATTCAAGCACAACACACGTGCCAGCCCAAGAGGCTCATTGCCAAAGACCTACCTGAGCAGCCATTCTCCCCAGAGGATTGCTGCCGTGGCAGAAAGCTGGAGCATTTGTCCTGTATCTGTAGCCGGAGAGGCAGCCCAGTCCTTGCTGCGCTGTGGCAGATTTCACATCCAAACACCGTCAACTTAGAGTAACGCTGCTTTCACCACAAGCAAAGCCAGTCTTGCTTTTAGCAACGCACCAATATCTCTGCACCAAACTGTTATTGGCCACCCAGTCGAGTGCATGTTCTATTACTGACATGTTCCTACTCCTCTTCCATCCTACCCCTGCTGCAGGCCCTGGTGCCCTCAGCTTTGCCTGCTTCCCATTTATTCCTTTGCTGCATCTCTGTGTTGCTTCCCCAGCCCATACAAGGACTGCTGGGGAAGAGAACAGGCTCCAGGAACACGATACACCTTCCTGGATTTTCTGGGAAGCTGCAGGCAACCTTGGCCTTTGGGAGCTCTGCCTGCAAGACTTCCTCCCAGCCTTGTACCCAAACCCAAACTCTAGTAGGGGACTCAGCAGGCTGGTCCATGCCCCATCCTCCGGGCTCAGCTCTGACATGCCTGCATCTTCTGCAGCACAAAGTATTCATCCCCCCATGGACACACAGCCCTGGGCTCTGCACCCAGAACCCTGCAACCCGGACACCTTGCACCTAGCTTGGCACCCAGAATGCTCAGCCAGGCTCCTGCACCCAGGGCCTTGCACCCAAACCCTGCACATAGCAGCCAGGGCCCTGCATGCCAGCTTGCAGGACCCTGCACCAGAACCCTGCACCTCATCACACCTGCCCCTGCATCTGGACCCTGCTCCCCAGCACCATGCACCACAGCACCATGTACACCACCACCACCTGGCACCACCCTGCACACCAGCACCAAGGGCCCTGCATCTACCCCAGGCACTCCAGCACCTGGGACCCTGCACTGGGGCTCCATACCCTGGCTCTACGCACTCCAACACCTCAGACCCTGCACCCCAGCACCCAGTACTCTGCAGCCAGCAACATACACCCGACCTCCTGGGACTGTGCACCCAGCACTGCGCACCCACCTCCCAGGATCCTGCACCTAGCAATGTGCACCCCTCTTCAAAGGATCCTGCCCCCAGCACCATGCACCCCAGCATCTGCCACCCTGCAGCCGGCACTGTGCACCCAGCTCCCAACAACCCGCACCCAGCACCCAGCCCCT